AAAATATATAAAATGTCCATGTTAACAAAAGAAAGAGAATTTATATAACCCAGTATCAGAAAAAGAAATTGAATTAGCCATAAATGAACATTCAAAGAAAAAAAATCCAAGATCTGATGTATTTACAAGTGAATTTTATCAAACATCAAAGAACAAGTAATTCAAATATTATATAAACTGAAAAATAAGAAAAGGAACCTTTCCAATCTTATTCTATGAAACAAATACTATCTTGATACCTAAACTAAGGAGAGACAAAGCAGAGAAAGAAACTCTGGGCCATTATCACAAATGAACACTGATGCAAAAATTTTAAATAAAGTATATGCAAAGACTACAACATTAGGAAGATTATAAATTATGACCAACTGGATTTAAGCTAAGAATGTAGGACTTAGTATTAGGAAAATTTTACATATATTTAACCACATTAATAACAAGAACAAAAATCATGATTATATCAATAGACTGAGAAAATTTTTTTTTGACAAAATATATAACCATTTCTGCAAAAAAAAAACCACCAGAAAATATAGGAATGTATGGGCCTTAAAGTGGTAAATTTTATATATCTAAAACCAAGAGTCAGGATCATACATAATGGGAATAAATTAGCATCCTATCCAGTAAGATCAGGGATTAAGCAAATATGTCCACTGTCACATGATGTCAGAAATGCTAACCCTAGCAGTCAGATAAGAAAAAGAAATAAGGAATAAGTAAAGGCCAAGAGTAACTGCTTTTTGCAGTGATATGATGTACTTAGAGAAGCCTAGAAAATAAACTAAAATTTAACTGAAAACTAGTAACTTTAGCAGGGGAGCTAGGTGGTGCAGCAGACAGAGCACTGGGCCTGGAGCCCAGAAAGACCAGAGTTCAAATTTGATCTCAGACACTCGCTAGCTGTGTGATCCTAAGCCATTCCAAAGCCATTTTAGAAGCTGCTGGACCAGCTGGGGAATCAGAGTGTACCACATTAGCTGTGAATTATCACAGAAGTTTTATAGTAACACAAGGTGGAAATTTAAGGTGCAGGAAAATAATTCATGTTGTTGGGGGAAATGATGTCAAGCAAACCATCTCTGAAGTCCTACAGGAATGTGAACAGATGAAATATGTGTCCGTTTCCCTCCCAGCCATTGGAACAGGACGGGCCAGAAAAGACCCTGCTCATGTTGCTGAATCTATAATTGATGCCATTGAAGATTTTGCACAGAAAGGGTCTAGCTAATCAGTGAAAAAAATGAAAGTGGTCATCTTCCTGCCACAGCTACTGGAAGTGTTCCATGATACTAATAAAAAGAATAAGCTCTAAGCCACCAATCTCTATGTTCTTGAAAATAAAATCATTTTTCGGTCTTGCAAGCCAACCTCCCAGAAAACAAGATAATTTGGTTTTGGAAAAAATAAAAAAAATCAGCAACTTTCCAGGCATGTGGTGAAAACAAGGAGAATGTTGACCGTGCTATCTCTTAGATACAACATTTGATTTTAAAGGAACACAAAAGTTGTACTTTCTCTGATTAGATAACCAAAAACTTTGCTGAAAAAGAATACATTGAACTGAATGAGCTGCAAAAAAGGTTAACTATAACCATTGATATGAAACGTGGAAGGTCTCAAATTGAGTTCACAGGAACTAACCAACATGTGTTTGAGGCTTCCCAGGCAATTCAAGGCATGATCAAGAGAACACACTCATGTATGGATGAGGAGTCTAAGGCTGAGGAACTCAGTAGAACCACCATATGGGAGTATGACGACAATGGTCTTTTCAAGCCTTTTGACAAATAACTAATCTGCATTTAGAGAATGCAAGGAAAGGAAAGAAAAATAACGTTAAAATTAAGAATGAAAACTACACAGTAGACTTTAACACTAACCTTGCTACAAATGGAAAGGGATACAGCTTGCCTGTTCACCATATCAAAAAACCTGAAGTTGAGATCCCTAATCACTGGGATGAGATGAAAGACCAGAACCTTCTTTTGGTGGATTTACCTCCAGGACATGAAAAATACAAGCAAGTAAAAGACAAGTTTTGTCAGACTTGTGCTAACTACACCACAGAGAAGATTCAGAGAATACAGAACAGAAGCCTTTGGAATTTGTATAAGACAAAGAAAATACTCATAGATGACCAGAACAAACACACGAATAATGAAAAATACCTCTTCCATGGGACAGATGTTGACTCAGTGTCCCATGTCAATAACCAAGGCTTTAATCACAGTTATGCTGGGAAAAATGCTACGGCATAGGGAAAAGGAACTTATTTTGCTGTCAATGCCCCATATTCAGCAGACAACACATACTCCAAGCCAGATATCAATGGGAAGAATCATATGTATTATGTGTAAGTACTTACTGGTGTTTACACTGTTGGAAATTCATCATTAATTGTCCCTCCACCAAAGATAACTCAAGATGCTATGTTCTATATGCCTGCATAAAACTGGAGAAGGAAATGGCAAACCATACCAGTATCTCTGCTAAGAAAACCCCACGGACAGTTGGTCCATTGGCTCATGAAGAGTCAAACACAACTGAACAACAACAAATAACTTCTGCAAAGCTGCAGATACAAAATAAATACACATAAATTATCAATCTTCCCCTTTATTACCAACAAAATATAGCAGGATGAAAGAAAAGAAACTCTATTTGGAATACCTACAAAATTTATAAAATGCTACCATGACATATTCACAGCAACCATATGAATACAATTACCAAATAGTCTCTTACAGAAATAAAGCCCCACTGTTAAACCCATGAGTTGGAATTTGTAGAACTGTGAATTAATCTAGGCGTTCTGGAAAGCAAATGATAATCCTACTTAATTAATTTATCTATTAAGTGCCACACCAATCAAACTACCAGAGGATTACTTTATAGAACTCAAAAAAAAAATCATCTTGGAGGAACAAAAGGTCAAGAATTTCAAGGGAAACAATGAAAAAAAGTTCCTAAACAGTACCAGATCTCAAAATATAATACAAAGCAGTAATCATCAAAATGATTAAAAAATAAAGGTCAGCCAATAGAACATATTAGGTATACAACATACATGAGGAAATGAAACTTGTGGCCTAGAGTTCAATAAACCCAAAGACCACTATTGGGTAAAAACCACTGGGGAAACTGGAAAACATCTGGCAGAAATTGGATTCAGACCTACATCTCATACTATATATCAAGATAAGGTCCAAATGGATACTTAAAAGGTCACCTCATAAATAAATCAGAGGAACAATGAGGGAAATATCTTTTTGTAGCTATGGATAGGGAAAGAGTTCATAACCAAACAAGGAACAGAGACTATTACACAAGGTAAAACAGGCAATTTTGATTATAAAAGATTAAAAAAGTTTTACACAAACAAAACTAATGCACCTAAATTATAAAGGAAATAGCTGGGGAAAAAAATCTGCATAGCAAGTTTCTCTGGGAAAGGTCTCATTTCCCAGATTTACAAGGAAATGGTTCAAATTTATAAGAATATATATTTTTTGTATTTTCTCAAAGGAAGAAATTCAAGCAATGAACAATGATATGAAAAAATGCCCTCAAAATCACTAATAATTAAAGAAATATAAATTAAAGCCACTCTGAGGTTCTCACACTCATAAGACTGGTAAAGATGAGATCAAAGAAAAATGGCAAATGTTTGGAGGGGCTACCAAAAAACAAGCATATTACTGTGCTACTGAAAGAGTTCTGAATTGGTCTAACCACTCTGGAAAGCAATCTGGAACTATGCTCCAAAAGTCACTAAACTGTGAATACTCTTGAGCCAGCTATACTATTACTATATTTATACTTCAGCGAAGATAGAAAGAGGAAAAGTAATCATATTTACAAAACTTGATAGAATCTCTTTTTGTAGTGGCAAAGAACTGGAAACTAAAGAGATGCCCATCAGGTGCAGATTGGTTGAATACTGTAGTATATAAATATAATGTAATACTTATATATATAAAATGATAGAAGGAATGGTTTCAGAGAAACCTGGGAAGACTTAAGTGATGCAGAGTGAAGGGAGTAGAACCAAAAGAACAATTTATATAATAATAACATTGTAAAGACAAACAATTTTGAAAGATTTAAGAACTCTAATCAATGCAGTGACCAGCCATGACTCCAGAGGATCAAGGATGAAAAATGTTACCCATCTCCTGACAGAGAAATGATAGACTTAAGACACAAAATAAGATATATATTTTTGGACATGCTTGATATGGTAATTTCTTTTGTTTGACTATGTATATTTGTTATGATAGTTTTTCTTTTCAATGGGGATGAGAAAATATTAATTAGGAAAAAAATTTAATTTTTAAAAAAGAAGCTGTTTACTACATAACAGGATCATTTTCAAGTGCTCTCAACTGAAAAGTTTTCAGTTCTCATGTTTACAGCATACATCACAAGCAACCAGTTGTATAAGAATTTAGTGAAACTAAAAGAGATGTAATGAAGGGTTCTCGTAACATTTATACAGCACCTTAAAATTTGCAAAACCCTTTTACAAATACTATCTCATTTTATCCATGCAACCATTCTAGGATACAGGTACTATAATTATCCTCATTTTTACAAATAAAGGAACTGAACCAAAGAGTAATTAAATACAGACCTAGGATTACAAATTTAATAAGTCTGAGGCCAGACTTGAACTCAGGTGTTTCTGATTCGATGTCTAGAGCTTTATCCACTCCATCAGTTGGCTATCTCCAAGAATATAATCTATCTTTCTATAGCTAGTCTGTCCATTATAAAGTCTCACGTTATCAATGGCTGCAAATAAAATCTGCCTGTCTCACTAGAGAAACCTATCTTTTATCCTGTTTCCTTCCATTTTAGCTTTGGATTTGCAGAAAATCAAATTGGATGAATAAACGTAAAGGCACTCTTGTTGCTAATCTATTAGTACAAAAACTATAAATCAAAACAATCTTGAGCTAATGCTTCATTTTCTCTGCAACCAAATGTGGACTCACCTTGCTTGGCATCAGGTTTTATCTCCTCTGGATGTATAACAGGCCGGTAGTATTTCTAAACATAAAATAAGAATTGATGAAAAAATGCCTCAATTTTATCTGGAAATACATGCTTTCTTTAAAAATGAAAATGAGTTTCGTTTTGTCATTGTAAGCAAATATTGTATATTAACATCAGTATTTGCTGCAAAATACCAACTCCAGTCATCTGCTAGAGGAGAAGAAAAGGCAAGACAAGTTATTCAACTAAGGCTACATTCTGCCTTTCAGTGTTGCCACCTACTGTTCATATTAAGGAGCAGTACCACAGATAATGATTATCAGAAAACGCAAAACAGCAAGAAAGCAAACATGCACCACAAAGGTTTTGCATTTATTACTGCCATTCCCAACTAATGAACAGGTTCAAGAGTTACAGCTGCATGGAATTTGGAACATTGTGGGTACAGACACAACGTTATAAATGGTCACTGAGCTTCCAACACAGACCACAAAACCTACTTTAAACACGTAGGGTGACTATAACCTATGTTCTGATTATCATCGATCATCCCAGTTTTGAAGGTGGAGGGGAGGGGAAGAAAGTAAGGAGGAGAAAGAGAAGTAGGAAGGAGAAAGAGGAGTTCCTTCCCTTCCTCCAAGGCCTAAGCAAAATTCTGAAATAGGAAAGATGTATCTTCTACATTGTCCCATCTTTATTTATTTACTTTTGTGTCTCTTTCTCACCTCCTGGTAACTCTCTAGGTAGGCTTTTAATGTCCTTATGCTGCCCCAAGGCTCTTAGTGCAGCATCCTACTCAAGCTTACCAACCCCACAAACTTCCCATGGTCCCAAATCACTTCCTCTCTCAACCTCACAGTAGACGATCTCAACTAGGTATTAGGAAAAAAAAACAATGTAATTGAACAAATTCACAGTAATGTGTAAATATAACCCCACATCTCGGTCAGAGGTACCTGAATATTTTAAAGGGGAATGGAATTTCAAATAGCGTAAAAAAGCAAAATAGGAAAATATTCAGTCACAGCTTCTTCCTTTCTTCCACTATAAGCTCACAGATGTCTGAAAGCTGCAATTCTTTTCATTATAGCTCCTATGGCAATAACAAATGGGAGAGAACAGGAAAAGGGTGAACTAGCTTTAAGTATGCAATTTGTAAGTCAAGAACTACCACTAAACAACGTTTTTAAAAAGACAGAAGTTACATATGCATACATACGCACAGACAGACAGACAGACACACACACACACACACACATATATACACATATACATACATATTTAGGTAAACAGATAAAAGTTGCTCCCTGACTACACAGAAAACCTTTAAAATGGATTCTAAGCACGTTTCAGCATGCCAACAAACTTGGAAAAGGCAGGATTAAAAAGATACAGGAAGGGAGACAATTTCAAAATCTGGTGTATCTTCAAGAAATGCTTTCAATCAAATGTCTTCACTTGAGCTTTATTTAATTAATATTCAAGTCAAACATTTCTCTAAGTTTCTCACATATCAAGATTAGTCCCTATAACAAGAGTAGTTCAAATATCCTCTTAATTATCTCTCCTTCTACTCCTCCACTTTGGTCAATATCTACTGAAAAGCTGAAAGGTTCTAAGCATCACTAAAAATTAATCCAGTCATATATACAAAAAGATATGCTAATATTGGCGGGGGAGGGGAGAAGCTAACATAAAAATTTTAGGCAAAATGTGACTTTATAGCCTTCCCTCCTTTTAAATGGATAAAATTTATATCATTTTTTTTAGAATTACTAAATGCTTCAGATATGTTGTTCATATACTGCTACCTAAAATTCATATACTTTACACCCTTACAATTATTCCTAAAACCCATGGAACAAGAAAATTTTGTATACAAATTTTATCCAAAATTTGAATATAAGATAAAAAGGCATTTCTGCCTCTAGAACACAGGTCAGCAAACTACAGCCCAAGGGCCAAATCTGACCTATCACCTGTTTTTGCATGGCCTGTGAGCTAAGGATGGTTTTTACATTTAAAAAATAAAATTAAGAAGTTTAAAATGTAAAAAACATTCTTAGCTTTCAGGCTATACAAAAACAGGTGGTAGGCCAGATTTGGTCCTTGGCCTAGATTTTGTCAACCCCTGCTCTAGAAGATATAAGCATCTGCAGAGGAAAACAGTACTTTCTTTGCTTATGAGCATTCTCTTGTTTCCTTCTGATTTAGAAACTAGTACATGTTCTTGGCCTCCTAAGCCTAAAAGGACTTGGAATAGAGCACACAAGTTTGGTAGCACCCATTGTTACAGTAGAGATCAGAAATAAGAAACTTACTGTGTGGTTGGTTCAAAGAGCTTAGAGAGAGAGAGAGGAGTAAGATCTTAGAACATAAACCTAGAAGGGAAGAAGAGAGCTAAGACCATCTAATCCCATCCCCTTATTTTTATAGATGAGGAAAGTGAGGCTCAGGGAATTTAAATGATTTGTCCAAGGTCATACAGGTAGTGGTATTTGAAGCCAGAGCTCCCGATTCTAGAGCTAGAGTTCTTTCCACTCTCCCACATTTCATCCCTTCACCTAAAGGTTACAGAATTAGAAAGATGAAAAACTTAGGGACTCCTTGCCCAGTGACCTTGTTTTACAACAAAGGAACTGATAGAAAGTATCCTTCTTTATTGTTATATGCTGAGCAACATACAACATATACAATATACAACATATTTTTATGTTTCCAAAACAATGAAGTCTTTGAGGATTGTTAAATAAACTGCTATAAGCAGTAGTGCAGCCTTTTCCCCCCTTTGGAAGACATGTTCCACGACTGCTCTAAACAGTTTTTTCAGGAGATACGTATTGGTACAATACTTAAGACCATGAAACAAACTACAAGTACATAAATACTACCTATTGTCAATTAAATCAAATGCTATTCCAAATCAAATATTCTTATGCCTGTTTTACATTCTCTACCATTGTTCACAGGCCGCCCAAAATCCTTTGGCAGGCCCAAGTGGCCCTATGGGAATTCTGTATAGCGAGTTTTGCTGAGAGATTTGTATTTTCAAAGGCTGCCTGAAATCCTTTGGCAGGCAAGCAGCGCAAGGGCCATGGCCTGCAACACTGTGCAGGCCTGCCCTAAAAGAATAAATCTCTAACTAGCAATACCAGTTACAAATGACAAAGAAAGAAGAAAACAGTTAATAACGAATTCTCTTTGATTTTCTTTCCAAATTCTTAGAATTGTAAAGTCACTTTTAGTCTCTTAACTTCCATTTCTACTTCAATACTAGCTCAATACAACACATGGCATTCCTAACAACAGTAGAATCATTACAATAAGAATTTCCATAAGCTTATATTTTCAATAATTGTAAAGACAGCCCATCTTACCAAAATTTCATGTTGTGCTTTCATGGTTTTGATGACACATTCAGCAATCTTTCTGGGATACTGCTTACGTTTTGTAGCTGTATCTACTATAACTTCATCAAACTGATCTTCAAGAATTCTGATCTTAGGATCTAAATCCATAAAAACAAATAATTTAAAGCAAAAGAAATTATGCCTAAAATATTTTTCTGAGCACACTACTAATAACTCTATAGGAAACTATTAAATATTTATGCTTTTTAAAAAGGTAGCCTGCTTCTGGAAAAACAAAATAATTTTTTAATAAAGAAAATTAATTAATTTAAATATAAAACACATAGTAAGGTGCACTGGAAGTACATGCAATTTCCCAAACTCAATCCAACTAAGTAGTGCAAGTAAACATCTCTTTAGTGGTCTTAGCTAAATTAAACCTGCTAAATCAGTTCTCAAAATGGTACTGCTATCTCTTAAAATTAGATGTGCTAATCACTTTACAAAGAGCTATAAAAAAATAAGTCAGGTCAATTCCAGCAAACATTTACTGTATCAAGCACCTACTATATGGGTGGACTTGACTAATCTAAGCCTCAGTTTTCCCCTCTGTACTTTGGTAGAACAAAGATTTCATTCATGTGTCCAGTTCCTTCACTAGTACAGAACACAAATCCTCCGTGACTTACCCTGAGCAATTTTTGTCAACATTTCTCATAAATCTTACCCAATGCAGTTAGGGGCATTCCTCTAGCACTTCTAGTGGGTACTAAGGGGTACCAATATACTACTTGGACTTTCCAAACACTCTCTCTCCCTCTCACCACATGACTGGCTCATCTCTTTGAATTTTATATATTCTCTACAATTTCTAGGCTATTCCTCATACAGCAATCATTGTTGGTAACACGCTACAGTTCTTTATGCAAACTCTTATCTTTTTATTGCCTTTTGGGTTATTTGTAAGTTTCATTTTTTGGACATAATGGAGTTCTAGGGTTCACAGTCACATAGTATCACTGGCAGAATATTAGCATTAAAGAGAAGGGCTTTTGTGGCAGTGAGCAGTTTGGGATCACTGAAAATACAAGCAATTTCTAAAATGCAATCCAATCATATTTCTTCTTTCTATTTATTTATGGATCCATGTATAAAATTTATCCAACATATATTGGACGGATTCAATAGGCTGCCTACTTAGCTTCATGTCATAGTCTGATCAACATACATCCTTTATCCACTTTTCCCCCCACAGTGGTTACAAGACCAATTCCTTTTGCTACGGATTTGATATGGATTCTAATGAGTAGGTTGTATTCAAAGCAATTAATACAATTCCATCATCAATGGAAGCATTTGAAAATTACTAATCTACAAAATGAAGGTAATACTTGCAGAAGCTACTTCATAGGATAATTGGGAGGAAAGCACTTTGTAAACCGCAAAAATATTATATAAACATAAGCTATCATTATCATTATTATTAAAATACACAACATATTGTAAGCCTACCCAATAAAAATGCTTACCTTGCAATATTCTTAATGTGAAAACTTCATTAAAATTTTAATTTGCTCAATTAAAATAATAAAACAAAGAAATTATATCATTAGCCTAGAAAAAATACTGTAATACTTATTATGATTAATTGCAAAGCAAGTCTCCAAGGCAAAACAGGTATGAACAGAGGAAAAAAAATGGCTTCTTGGCACCATCTATTGGTCAGTCTGAAAAACTGTAATCTAAGCCTGTTTCTTATGAATGAAAAAGCAGTGGTTACTATATATCAAGCAGGGTGCTAAGCATTGAGGATAAAACAGATGCTCAAGAAGCACATGCTCTAATTGGGGAAGACAACATGTAGCTCAACTGCAAGCTGGAAGTTCAGAAGGCAGAGGTGAGGAGTGTAGAGACCACAGTGGCAAGGTAGATGGTTAAGCAGGATAGATGACAAGCCTAGAATCAGAGGTGGGGAACCTGTGGTGTCGAGGCCACATATGGCCTTTTAGGTCCTTGGGTGTGGCCTTTTGACTGAGTTCAAGTGTTACAGAACAAATCATTTTATTCAGGGAATTTGTTCTGTGAAGTTTGGATTCAGTCAAAGGGCCACACTTGAGGACCTAGAGGGCCACGTGTGGCCTCGAAGCTGCAGGTTCCCCACCCCTGACCCTAGATCTTCCTCCTGGATACTTTCTCTTCTCTGGGTATTCCTGTTATGGTTGTTATTTGGTTCTCTTCCTATCTGTATAATTACTCTTTGTCAGCCATCTTTTGTTGAAGTTTCATCCAGGTCAGGCCTCCCTACTATGGGCATACTTTAAGCTTCTGTCTTGAGCCTTCCCTGTCCACTTTTTTTGCTGCTATCTAACCATATCAGATCCCATGGGTTCAATTATCATCTCTCTTCAGATAACTCCCAGATCTACTTATCTAGTTTTCGTCTCCCTCCTGAGCTCTAGGGCTGAATCACAGACTGCTGACTGGACAGCTTGAATTAAACTTTCTAGAATTATCTCAAGCTCAACATATTCAAAATAGAATTTGTTATATTTGCCCTAAACCAACCAACAGAATTAGATCCCTAATTCTACTGAAAGTACCACTATCTTTCCAATCACTCGTTTACAATTTCAGTGTTATCCTCATTCTTCCTCACCCCACACATTCATTCGGTTACCAAATATTGTCAGTTCTATCAACACAAGATCTTTCATATACATCTTCATCTCTTCACTCACAGAGTCACCTCTCTTTCCCTGGACTACTGCAATAGCCTTCTAATCAATACCTCTCACGTCTCTTTCTACTTTAGTTCATTCTCTATATAGTGGCCAAACTGATCTTCCTAGAGTACAAGTCTCACAATGTCACCTCCTACTCAATAAACTATAATGGCTCCTTATTACCTCTAGGATCAAATATAAACTCCTCCGGCATTTAAAGCCCTTCCTCTCTTTCCAGCTTGTCACACATGATTCCCTTCCACACAGTCTATAATCCAGCGTTACCGAATAGTTACTGTTCCTTGGACAGAAAAATTCCCTCCTCCGTCTCTGTACTTTTTTTTTTAACTTAGGCAATGGTTAAGTGACTTGCCCAGGGTCACACAGCTAGTAAGTGTTATGTATCTGAGGCTGGATTTGAACTCAGGTCCTCCTGAATTCAGGGCCGGTGCTCACTCCACTGCTGGCCCCTCCATCTCTGTACTTCTGCAGTAGCTGTCCTCCACTCTCCTCACTTCCACCTGTCAGAGTCTGTTTCCTCAAAGACTCAATTCAAATGCCATCTTCTGTAAGAGGCCTTTTCTGGTCCCAACACCTGCTACTGATTTCCTCCTTATAAGACAGACCCTTGGGATAAAACCACAATTATGGGAGGGATATGAATGATGATCCAGCAAAGGAGGCTAACAGTGGTCAGATAGGTAGGAGGAGAATCAAGAAAGATTGATGTCATGAAAACCCAGAGGAAAGAATATTCAGGAGACAGCAGTCAACAAGTGTCAGACACTGAAGAGGTCAAGAAGAATGAGGACTGAGAACAGGCCACTAGAGAAATGCGAGTTATTGTTAGAAGAGGGGTGAGACATATTTGTTAATACCACTTCTACTCATGAGGAAGAGTTTTCTATTCCCTTCATAGTGAGTGAAGGGAAGGGGTGACAAGGGAGCAGCTTCAATCACTTAGGAAATACATTTATAACACTGAACTGCCTGAGATTTTCCCCTTTGTCTACTAAAAAATAGTATGTTGAAAGTTACCCTACAGAATAAAGTCAAAACAAACTCTCCACACTATATAAACACTGGGAAGTATCACTGAAACATCACCTACCTCCTCAGCCCTTTGACAGCACCAAGGCAGCACCTTAAGTCATTTTTCAAATTTTCTTCAACTAAATGAAGGCTACTAGACATCAAACTAGCACCAACACAGGCACTGCGCCCAGCCACTCTTTCCCTCCATGTCTTGTTATGTGATACTGAGCAGACCACATGGCTTCTCAGTCTCCAGCTCATGTTCAATAAAACTTGTTCTGTCTACCTCACAGGGCACGCAAAGGATCAAATGACACAGTGCATACAAAAAAGCTTCATCAAGATTAACCAGATGACAATGCTTATCGCCAATACCACTTATAGGGTGTCAGTCCAAGGTATCCGCCTGGTTTATTTAGATTATAAGTACAATATGCCTTCTTTATTGATTTCAGTTTTCTAAATTAAGTGTAAGTGGAAAACTGAAATTAGAGATGAAATAGTAACATTCACATTCAAAATTAAAATTCAAAATGAGTGGTCATACTTTATGCAAATAGGCCATAAAGGATTTAATCACATACCTACAGGAATTTCATTATCTGAAGTTTCCTGCCACGCCTCCCCATTGAAACTCACATTCTCTTGCACAGCAGTTACAAAATTCTGTAACAAATTAAGAACAGTTAAAATAACAAAGACTGCAAATGCTTGATTAAAACAGTGTCCACAACTAATGCTTCAGATTTAGCCTATCTAGCATGGAGACCAATCAGATCTGAATGGAAATCAAGGACCCTGGTTCAGATTTTAACTCTGCAACATACCTTTGTGGCATTGAGCAAGTCACAGAACTTCTCTGAGCTCAGTTTCCCCATCAGCAAAATGGGGATCCTAATATTTGTACTAATCATTTAACGGAAGCACACTGAACAAAATGCTTCATCATCTAGGTAGCAATTAAAACAACATAAGTACTTAGGTATGAGTCTATGGGGTAGGGCTAATACCAAAAAGTCATATTATGCTATTGGGTATATTTTTTTTTCCTTAATAACAACATTAGGATCCATTTCAATAGTTGAAATTATAATTAGTCAAGCAACAAGCATTTATTAAGCACACTGTGCTAAAGGCTGGGGATACAAAGAAAGGCAAAAACACTAACCTTACCCTCAAGGAGCCCACATTCTAACGTGGCAAAATATAAATAATTATGTAAGTACGTGTGTATTTATGATATCTAGAGTAGATATAAGATAAACTCAAAGGGAAAGCAGACATCTATCATATAATTCTATGAGCCTTTAAAGTATAATTTTTATTTCATAACATTTAAAATAAAAACTAAGGTCCAAACCATGGTGCACCTCAATTAAAAAAGGTTAAATGAAGACCAAAATTCTTTGAGTAAGAGTCTCAAAAGCATAGGTATTATAATACTATCATCTGATGATTGACACAAGGCAATCTACTTCAAGACCTTTCAGTATTAACTCCTATTCAGCATGGCCCTGTGGAAAGAGTACTATAAGCTGTGGTACCTTAGGCAAAACAAGTAACCTCTCTGGGTCTCAGTTCCTCAATTATAAAATGAGGGTATTAGACTAGATGATTTCTAAGGTCCCATGCAGTTCTAAATCAGTAATCCTATAAATTAGCTTATTTTCTACTCCAAATCTTTAAAGTAGCAAATCAAAGGATCATATATTTAGAGTTGCAAGGGATCTTATGGGCCATCTGTCATGAAAAACTGCATAACATGCTTATCAATAAATATTGATTGTGAACATAAACTGTTTTTATGTATCATAGTAATGTTTATTCCACCAGTGCAATTAACATCATTAGTACATGATATTATACTAGGTGGTTTAAGATGCAACTAAATCTCCTATTAATTTACACTATTATTTTGTAATAAAATAGTTCTTTGTATATTTTGTGTAGCCAAACCATTATTTTTCTAAGAGTTTTGTTTTCCAATTGAATACTTCTGTTTTGAATTACACTTAAAAAGTAAATAACAATAACAAGCTAAGTCACTAATTTCCTGGGAGACTCAAGCATTTAAAATAATTTACTCAAGTTATTCCTGAAATAAATTCCAGCAATTTAACATAACAAAACAGTTTATTCATAGAACAGAGCTGGAAGGGGGGCTCAGAAGTCATGTAATACAACCTCCCCTTTCATTTTACAGTTGAGATAACTGAGGCCTAAAGAAGTTAGGCTTACCAAAGATTACACAGCAGTAAATGTCAGAGGCAGAATTTGAATTCAGGCTGTCTCCAAACTCTAGAGCCAGTGCTCTTTACATATTGTATCATGCTGCTGACTCCTAGTTAGTCAACGAGCATTTATTAAGCTCTTACTATGTGCCAATCACTACGATAAACATTGGAGATGCACAGAAAGACAAAAACACTTTTCCCCAAGGCATTCACTTCCTGATGAGAGACATGTAAGTAGCCATGTACATGCTCTGTGTGTTGTTGGGATTTCAACTGATTCTTGAAGGCAGCCAGGGAAGCTAAAAGGTAGAGGTGAAGGGACAGAATATTACATGCATGGAGGATAGCCAGTATAAAGGCAGAATCAGGGGATGGAGTATCATGTGTGAGGAAGAGCAAGTAGGTCATTGAAAATGGATTATAAAGGGCATGGAGGAGAGTAAAGTATTAAGACTGGAAGGTATGAAGGGGCCAGCTTGTGAAGGACTTTAATGCCAAACAGAGGAGTTTCGATTTGGTCCTGAAGGTAAATAGGGAGCCACTGGAGCTCACTGAACAGGACAGTTAAAAATGGTCAGACCTAGACTATAGAAAAACCACTTTGGGAGCTGAGCAGAGAATGAACTGGTATAGGGAGAGATTCTAGACAGAGAAACCAGTTAGAAAGAGATTTCAAGAGTCAATGCAACAGGTGATGAGGGTCTGGACTATGTGAGCAAGAAAGTGACATTTATGAGAGATGGGATAAAGGTCAAAACATCAGGATTTGGCATAGGCTGAGGATAACGCCTGGATGACTGGGAGGATGGTGGAGCCCTCAACAGTAACATGGAAGTTCAGAATAGGGAAGATTTGGGGGAGAAAAGTAATAAGTTCTCTTTTGGACATGTTAAAGTTTGAGACATCTATGGAATATCCAAAGTAAGATGCCCAAAAGGTAAAGTGGAACTGTGACTCAGGAGAGGGACCAGGACTAGATACAAATCTAGAAATCATCTGCATAGAAATAATAAACGAATCCATGGAGCTGAAGAGAACACCAAGTGAGACAGTTTAAGGGAAAAAGAAAAGAGTTCAGGACAGTACCTAGGGAGACAACAGCAATTAGTGGGTGTGACACTAAAAACCAGCAAAGGAGAATGAAAAAAGAGTGTATAGCTAGACAGGCCCCAAAGAAGAAAAACAGAAGATAACTCCCCAGCTCACTGGCAGAGGTCAGGACCCACAGGTGTGCAATATTAAATAAATGTTAGATTTTTTTCTTGATGCATTGATCAATTATGCTCAATGTTTTCTTTTCTTTCTCTCCTTCTTTAAAAAAATCTGTTATAAGGGATAACTGGCAGAGAAAAAGTTGAAGGGCTGGAAGAAATTTGGGTAATGCCAAAACAATGTATTTTTAAAAAGAAAACTATTTTTAAAAAGGAGGTGAGAGGTGATGAGAGCCCCAATCAGGCTGATGACTTCGTGAATGGAGAGAAGGGGACATAAGGGAGAGATGCTGTAAAGGAAGAAAAGACAAGATCAGAAAGATGGAGTGAGGAGTTGAGGAACACAGTGAATTATCACGGGAAGTTCAGAAAAGGAGAGGATTTGGAGTTAAATTTGAGATGCTTACAGGACACTGTGTTCTAGATGTCCAAAAGACAGTAAATAATGTGTGACTATAGCTCAAAAGAGGGACTAGGATTGGATATATAGAAACAGGAAGATAATTTAGGATTTAGGAGGATGGACCAGCAAACCCCTGCAACTCTTAATTCTCTCTGTCTCTTGTTTGGTCATGAACTGTTCCCCTATTCATAAATCTGAAAGATATCTTCTTTGCTAACTTGCATAACTTTGCATAACTTGCTTATGATGTGACTTTCGATATAAAGTCATGTATCCTTTTGGAGCTTATCTTGGAATATGGTGTGAGAGACTTATCTAAACTTAATTTCTACCAGACTGCTTTCTAGTTTTCCCAAAAGTTTTCTGTCCAATAGATAGGGGTCTTTGATTTTCCTTGAATTTCCTGAAGAGAAGTACATATACACAGGGTGTACTTAGTCCCACAACTCTAAGACTTTGAGAATACCCTTTCTATGTCAGGCAGGGAACCTGTAACAGGGATGGTAACGCATGGCACAGACACACTACACATCGTGTCTCCTATTCCTCCCTTTCCCCCCAAGTTTCCCTTACTAGCATTTCTTTTCCCTTTTCTCCATCTCTTCAGTCTGTGCCGCAGGTCTAGACGTCAGGAGCTAGCTGAGAAGCCACAGCTGACCTGCTGACAACCCTCTGGTCCTCCCTGCTGTGGGCTGCGGTACTCACTCCCTGAGGTTACCCTGTGCTGACCAGTCACTCCTCACCCATCTGGGCCTCAGTTTCCTCCTCTGTAAAGTAAGGAGCCAGGGCCTGAGAGTCTCTAGGACCCCTCACACCCGTGACATTCTAGGGGGCCGTGATGCTCGCAAGCTGCGGGGAAGGATGTGCAAGCAATAGCATTCCGACGCCCTCGGGGCCAGCAGAGGGGGGCGGCCCGTACCCACTGCGCGTCCTTCAGCGCCAGCTCCCGGCTCTTCTCGGGCAGGACGTCCCCCAGCTCCCGGATGAAGCGGCTGCACATCTTCAGCACTTCGGCCACCGCCTTCTGCGACGCGCAGCGCACCCGGAAGTCCTCCACGGGGGCTGCGGACGAGGCCGGGGCTGATCCCGTCCCTGTAGCCATAACTTGCTTCTCCTCCTCCTCCTCCTCTTCACCCTCCTGCTGCTCCGGCGGGCGCGCGGAAGTCCCTGCCATTTTTCCCCAAGTTCGAAATCGGCGGTGCAGAGATTCCGGAAGCGGAAGGGCGGAGCTTGAAAAAACCGGAAGTGTCCGACGCTCCTATCAGGAAGCTGGAGCCTTCGCGCATGCGTCCTGCTCCGGAGGAGAGGCGGCCATGGGAGCCGTGACGCCAGGGTTTGTGGATTGTCACTGCCACCTCTCCGCGGCCGACTTCGACTCGGTACGTGAGGCTGCGGGTGGGCGGGAGTGAGGAGCCCTCGGATCCCTTGCTGTCCCAGAGACGTCCAGACCCTTCCCCTGCGCTGGCTGCCCATGCTCCAGTGCCCCTCAGGCTTGGCCGATCCGGGGCCGGGGGAGCGCGGGCCCTGTGGGTCTCGGGCAGAAGGGTGGTCTCTTTGGGACTTTTGTCAGTCGACACATTTATTCAGCGCCTGATATGTGCCAGATGATGTGCTAATAAGTTAGCCCTGGGATTGCAAAGGGATGGGGAACAAACCCCACAATCCCTGCTTTTAGTGATAATATTAACATTTATATTTATTTACTTAATCTGTACTAGGCAGTGTGCTAAGTGCTTTACAATTATTAGCTCATTTGATCCTCACAACAGCCCTGGGAAGTAGGTGCTGTTATTCATCGCCACTTTACAGATGAAAAACGGAGGCAAAGAAAGGTTAAGTGATTTACCCAGTGTCACACAGCGAGTAAGTGTCTGAGGACAGATCTGATTTCGAGTCTTCCTGACTCCAGGCCTGGCACCCTATCCACTGTGCCACCTACCTGCCCAAGGAGCTGATAGTCTAATGGGGGAGAGAACATACAAACAAACTATATATAAAGTAAATTAAAGATAATCAACTGCGGGAAAGCATTAGCATCAAGGGGGAACCAGAAAAGGCTTCCTGGAAAAGGTAGTGTTTTAGTGGGAACTTGAAGGAAGCCAGGAGGCAGAGATGAAGAGAATGTTTTAGGCATGAGAAGCCCAGAATACGAGATGCTGGTGTCACAGCCTCTCAAAGAAGGCTATACCTGCTTGTGAAATCTCTAATATAACCCACCTGACAAGTTTACCTGCATCCAACATTCGCTGAGGACCTTCAATGAGGTGGAGTTTACCACGTGCTCTTCTGAAGCCCATTCCATTTTTGGAAAGTTGATTGTGAAGATGGTCCTCCTTCTTATATGCAGTATGGATTTGCTTTTTTACCCTTTCCATCTGCACCTTCTAGTACTCCTAGTCTCTGAGGCTGAGCAGAACTATTCATTCATTCAACAGGCATTAAAATGGGGGCAAATAGTACCTACCTCCCAGGTTTGTTGTGAGGATAAAATGTAGTAATATTTGTAAAGCACTTTGCAGCTTCAGAAAGCCCTGTAAATGCTATTATTTTCGGTGCCAGGAATACAAAAATAAAACAGTCCTACCCTCTTAAGAGCTCATATTCTAGTTCTTCAGGTATTCAAGGACAACTCTCAGTGCCCGAGCTTTTTTTGTTCCAACCCATTCCAATCCCCAATGTGTATTGTATTTTCCAGAATATAAGCAATAGAGAGGTATGATACTCACTTGTGAAATGAAGAGTTCAGGCTAATCCACTTTAAGAAAGACAAAAATAAGGCAGCAATAGCAACCCACACCATGTAAAAGTCTGTTCATGCTCTGCACACTCTACAAGTTATAGGAATCAGAGCTAGAAGGGAAGTTGGAGTCCAAACTCACCTTTTTAAAAATAAGGAAACTGAGGGGCAGCCAGGTGGTGCAGTGGATAGTGCACTGGCCCTTGATTTAAGAGGATCTGAGTTCAAATGTGGCCTCAGACACATTACACTTACTAGCTGTGTGACCCTGGGCAAGTCACTTAACCCCATTGCCTAACCAAAATAAATAAATAAATAAGAGAACTGAGGCATGGACTTAGTAAATGACAAGGTCAGTAGTCAGCACCATGAAAATGGATACCACCCACCATGCAGGGCTTTGTGCTTGATGCTTTTGAAATACTGTAGGCCTTGCTTTGGGCAGCTCATAATCTTAAAGGCAGCCCTAGGGAATCTGTTTGATGCTGTTGGGTAAGCCAGATTCCCGGGAAACCAAATAAGGGTGGGGAAAAACATTCCCAATGAGTTCAGGGCCTAAATATAGAGAAAACTGAATCCAGCTAGACCAATAATACCATTTTTGAAGTATTTAGAAAAATTATGCTTCTAGTAAACTGCTTGGTCACACAGTGGATAGAGCTCTGGACTTGAAGTTAAGAAGACCTGAGTTTGAATTCAGCCTCAGACAGAAGCTGTGTGACCCTTTGCAAGACACTTAACCTCAGCCTCAGTTTATCCATCTGTTAAAAGGGAGTAATAAAAACATCTACCTCCCAAGGTTGCTATGAGGATCAAATGAGACAATATTCGTAAAGTGCTTAACGTAGTGCTTGGCATATATTAAGTGCTATATAAATGTTAGCAAGGAGGAGGAGAGATATGAGATGAACACTTGAATAAGAGAGAATCTGTGCTGTAGTAGCTTACAGGAATACTTCCCTCTGGAAGAGTAGTATAAATGGCAGGAAGAACATTGGGCAACAAAATGCAGACGTCATGCTTACTCCTCCCTCTGCCCTCTCTTGATTTCTCAAGGTAGAGATCCTTAAGCTTATCAATGCACTGCCAGAAATGGCTCTGGCTCCTTCCCTAGGGAAAAGAACATTGTCTCCTCTCCAAAGGGCACTATTCTTGGGTTTCACCTTTAGAATGTTAGGATTGGAAGGAAAGCATTTCCCCAGAACCGTTCCATATTTATCACACATAAACACATACCTTATTTAATTTTAATAACTGGTATAAACATTGGCCAACTTGAAAACTCTGAAAGATGTTTATTGTTGTTAATAACACTAGTATTGTGCTTGGTTATTTATTAGTCTTTATTCATGATATTCTAAACAGAGGCAGCATGGTCTTTTGGATAAATAGCTGGTCAGGAAGACTTTGGTTTCATTCCTGCCTCTGACCCATACTGGTTATGTGACCCTGCACAAGACTCTTAACCTCTTAGTACTCCAGGCAACTCTCTAAGACTGTAAGTCTCTGTATTGGTAGAGAGTTTCCTATACCAGTGAAATCAGAGGTACAGTCCATAACCCTATTCTGCTCATTTTCTTTCCTCTAAACTGCCCATCCCTTCTTACCACGCTGGCCAATTAAAAAAAGGGGGGGGGGAGAAAAACAACCCAACCAAGACCAATATTTTGTAGGTTCCACTTTGATTAAAAATAACCTTTGGGGGCAGTGGATAGAACACCGGCCCTGAAGTTAGGAGGATCTGAATTCAAACCAGGCCTCCAACCAAACACATGACACTTACTAGCTGTATGACCCTGGGCAAGTCACTTAACCCCAATTGCCTTAAAAAAAAAAAGAGTATCTCTTTGCAGAAGTGGGGGACCATCAGTTTGGGCAGCTAGGTGGCGCAGTGGATAGAGCACCAGCCCTGGGCTCAGGAGGACCTGCGTTCAAATGCGGCACTTAACACTTACTAGCTGTGTGACCCTGGGCAAGTCACTTAACCCCCATTGCCCAACCAGAAAAAATAATAATAATAACCTTTGTTCACCCGATTCAATTTCACTAAGTCCCCTTGTTTAGCCTTTATTCTGAAAACAACACTTAGTGTGCTCTGTGAATGAACATACGTTGTTTAATGTATCATTCTGTTCCTCTACATGTGTGTTAACTAAACTTTTTTTTTTTGCTTTTTGGTGAGGCAATCTTATGTTAACTAAACCTGAACCCAATTTGGAACTCTTAAATTGTCCTATTTTCTATCTGACTTTTTCTGTTGCCATTCCTTGTGGTTCTTCAGCCAGTTTTGAAATAATTGTATTTTCTGATATACATATTCTTCTAAAATTATATACACATATATTTATATCATATAAGATATTTAAAATTAATTATCCTATCTTTTAGGACCTTGAAGATGTGTTGGAGAGAGCCAAGAAGGTCAGTGTCTATGGCCTATACCAAATCTATACAGAAGCAGCTTAAAATTGGGGAATATCTCTTCTTCTCTGGTTGACCTAGGCATAGGTAGCATTTCATGTTTGTTATCAAGTCTCAAATTTAGATTATACTGAGGATATTGGACAAATTTTAAAATTTCCTGGAACATCTTTCTTTTTTCAAGAAAACTACTAAAATAACAAGTTATTTAATTCTTAGAAGACCTCTTGATCCATTTTAGCTCTAGCTTTCTTTGATATCTCAGAGAAATGAAAGAGCAGAAAATGGATCCTAATTTTCCTTTTTCTATCATAGCCAGCTTTCAAAAAACTATGCTTACGGAGAATGAGGTTAACCAGGAGAGTTAAAAATCATAGATGATGTGGAAGTATTCGTGAACAAATGAAACTAACTCCCATTTACATACTGCTTTAAGGTTGACAAAGCACCTTCCTTATAGTAACCCTGAGAGCCAGGTAATAGAAATTTCATTATTCTCGTTTTAGTCTCAGAGGCTTGATCATGATCACATAGCTTATAAGTATGTATTGTTTGGTGCTCTAAATGCTTTATATTTTCTTGTTGCAGGCCAATGTGTTAGCCATTATAGCAGTTGCTGAACACTCAGGAGAGTTTGAAAAGATCATGCAGCTTTCAGACAGGTAGCTCCTTTTTTATTTATATATTTTCATATACACATATATGTATATATATATATATATACATACACACACACATATGCATTTTTCATGCACTTACACACATATACATATATCTTAGCATTAAAAGTAGCTATGCTAAAACCAGTGAAAGTATGATCATTTATAGACAGATATGAAATTTATAATCTGAACATCAGTGCATAGTGAAAGGGAACAGTGAAGCCAACTTTGATATGGTCTTGAACAAACGGGGAACTGTCAATATTTTTTTCTGGTTATTCTCCAAAATGGGATGGTAGTATACTTTTCCTGCTCTATTAGTTGGTAACTGTTTCCTTATTTTTAGGTACATGGGGTTTGTTCTGCCATGCCTAGGTGTTCACCCTGTTCAAG